CAGCCCGCTCCGCCCCGCTGGGCGCCGGCCTGGGTAGCGGGCCGTGGGTGCCGCTCTCAGACGGTGTGTTTCCCAAATAGCGGGGGAGAAAAAGGGCTTTGGCCCTGCTCCGTCCTGAGCCTTAGGGAAAAAAAAAATTGTTAATGCGTAATTTTAAAATTTAACCTCCGTGTCGGTGTGTTCCTTCTCAAGCAAACGCAGCTAGTGCAAGCCGGTATGACACGTAAATGAGTATCCTGTGTGAAGCTAACAGGGGCAAAACCATTGTAAACCTTCCCATTTTTCAGCGCTGTGCTGCATTACTTTTAAGTATAAACAACTAGCTGGTTGAATGATGAATTGAGCTGTCGGTATGCACAGGGTTAAAGCTAAATATTATAAAGCACGCGTCACAGGGTAACAGCTTTTGGATATAATGACAGGTGCTGAACTTATTCAGCAGTCAACATCTAAAAGTTGATGCATTTTAGTCAAAGCTAATACGTTTGTTATTGACTTTTTATTGCTGTGCTTTCCCCTGTCACATATATTTTACATTGGACATTCAAAATGCTTGCCTAAAAGATTAATACACCTAGTCCGTTCTACAGCAAATGCAGAGGTGTACGGAGGAGTTTATCCCCAATTACAGTGGAAAAGCCGGGTCATTTCTTAAGACGTTTTTGTGTTTGTTTACTAATGAGGCCTTTGGAGCCCTCTGCTGACAATGAGGGCTCCTACCTGAAATCAACTTGCCAAATGCATTTTTCAACTTGAGTACCATATAAGGCAGACACACCTCTTCCCCTTCCCCCCTTTTTTACATAATAAACATCACCAGCACTAATCACAAAAGGGGAAAAAACCCTAGCATTATTGTATATGCTATTAAAAATGGTATAAGAATAAGCAAATTATTAAATCATTGTAATGAGCCAGTGAATCAGTGTTCTTTATTGCCTACTATTACAATGTGTTAAGCTGTCAGGGTCTGTGGAGTCTGAAGTGATGCAGTGATGCAGTGGTTGATTTGTACATTGATAACTGAGGAATCTTAAATGATTGCTAATTTCATGTAATAATTAACTCACCTCACAATTTATGTGTGTCAAGCTAACAAATTCATTAGTGATTGAACACACGCTGCAATGGTTAGTGTTGTTCCACATGGCTACATATTGCAGGCAAACAGAGACCACAGTTGAGATCTGGCTTCCTCCGTGCCTCCTCTCTCTGGCCCGTACAGCAACAAAGTGCGGGACAAGGCTTATCCCCGAGAGTCCATAGTATAACCAGATGAGAGGAGGCAAAGAACTTGGGACAGAGGAGGTGACTTTCCCGACCCCTCTCAGCAAACCGCTGACAGACCAGGAACACAGTCCAAGCCTTCCAAGTCCAAATACAGCACGTCATCCAATGGGCTATCTTACATGTATTTATGTTTTTCTGCAGCATGCATATATCATTAGCTTAGCAGCAGCTGTCATTGCAGTATCCGAGACTTTCAGTTTAGTCTCAGTTTGAGGATCCCAAGAGAAGGCTCTCCGATGCTAGTTTTCTTTAACCTTTTTCTGTCTGCTAAGATTGCGAGTGTGGTATGTAGAGAACTCTTTACACCCTCCGCTTGAAAGTGCATTGCCCATGACAAAGACAGAGAGCTCCCTTGGCAGAGAGAAGCACAGGAAGGAGCACGACTCGCTGCCTCTCGCCATTACCCCTCTTTGAGCAGGGCTCAGAACACAGGACGTCCCTCTCGGGGCAGGTTCGGAGGACTGATTCCCGCTTGAAGGACTGCATAGGCTTCTCCTTTAAATCATCTTTGTGTTAATGAATAACGAGTCATTGTTCCAGGTTCCCATTTATAAAACAGGGACAATAATGCTTTCTCAATTACTCCTGAAGTAAAACAGAATAAAAATATGATAAACATGATATACATTCTAAATTCATACCTATGTTTATATGTGTGTAATGATATATACGTACATCTTTGTACATTTTTTCAGGATCAAATCAGTGCTACCATAACATCTACAAGTTCCGAGTTCATGAGACTTTAGTATTGGCTGTGGTATGTGTCTACTACTCTAAAAACATAGACTGCTATTCAAAAAATGATATATTCTGCCAGCTGCAAAAGATATTTACAGAACTAGCTGGAAAAAAGTTGGTCAAACAATATTCATCATAAGATTCAGGCACAGAATCAGTTTCAAATAAGCTTTACTAAAAAGAGATTTCTTCCAGAACAACAGTTCTTTTTAAAGAAAAAAAGATCAAAACAAAATAGATGGGTGATATTTATGCTATGAAATTAATTTTTACATTTTTATTTCATTTTTAAAATTATGTCTTATCAGGGACTAACAATGCCTGCTGTTTTATCATAAAATGTTGCTCCTTTATCATATAATCCCACACTGATATGACACACCATTTTGTGACATACTGTAATAGTTTAACATTTCTGAGTTTAAATCAGCTGTGGTTTAGCATCATCTGCCTGCTATCTACAGAAAGACTGTATTAGCATAAGAACGCATGTGAATGCGTGTGGCATGCCATCAGGCAGAAAACATCCTGCAAAATTGCCACAATTATTACTTGATTTATTTATTAATGTATATGTATATCTATGAAGGAGATCACAGATCAAGCCCTGGCTGTGTGATCTGAACTTTCTAAAACCCTGCGCACAGGTAATAGTAGCATCTGTTTCTTATGGAATGGAATCAAGGAAACTGCCTTGAAAACCTAAAAAGGAAATGGTTGGTCACTTGCTAGAAATACTCCTAGATAGGGAGGGAAGGTCCATTTCTGCTCTCAGTAATATCAGTATAAAAGTGTCAGCAGTGAAATCAGATGAGTAATAGGTTTACACAAATATGGCTGAGAACAGAATTTGTCTCCATGTCTTCAGCAGAAAGCTTGAATGCCAAAGTTGTGATGAATGATTAAAAAATACCCTTTCTTCCTGACTGAAAATCAAAGACTACTAAGTAAAGTTACAAATACCATTATTGAAAATACTATTCGTCCTATAAAGAACCATAATCCTATTTAATTTATATTTCATGCAGCCTTTTTAAATACATTTGTATAGCACTGAATTGGCCATGGGATAGTTTCATACTAAATCTCCCTGGAACTATGACTGTTTGCAAAAATGAAACGAGAGGTGGCAACAATTCAGACACGCTATATTAACATGGCTGAATAAAACAGATTTTTTCAGAATTACAGCCATTTTCTAGCACAGGCTCTGAAATGTGATTTTTAATATTGTGTTTCCTGCCTAAGAAGAATTATATCATCCTTGAAAAATCTCGAAAGCCAAGAACAGTACTGACTGATGAAGCAGAAGGGCCCCCAAACTTCTTAGTGTTAGAGGAAGGATGTTGCTGGAATAACGGAGGAAAAAGTGACAAGCAGAGACAGGTACTGCAAAAAGCAGACTTTGGAGAAGTTGAAGGTGTGGGAGGCTAATAAGAAGATATTTTCCAGTGATTTTGAAGACTTCTTTCCAACTGAATTCCTCTGGGAGCATGTAGCCCTGATCGGCCAATAAGTTCATGCCTCAGTCTGTCACTGGCAGGAGATTTAACTTATTTGCAATTTTTTCTGACCTCACATCCAACAGACATTACCCAGATGAGGCATCTGTCTTTTGACAGGGGAATGTAAGCCAAAAGAAGACTTTTAACTTTGCATGCAGTTTGAGTGGAAGTATGCAAGTATATATGTCCTAGCATAAGGCCCTCAAATCATTTCCATCTTGTGTAGGAAGGCAGCTGGGATAGCAGGAAAAGCAGAAGTACACAACATATTCAAAATGATTTGTTTATTTAATAATTTAATAGATTGATTGACTTACTAAATCTTGTAGTAAGAGGATACATTAATATGATTAGGGAGCAGTAAGACCATGCACAAGAAAATATCCCTCATCATATACCTGCTTTCCTATTTCTCCTTTATTCCAATGAATGATCATTATCCTGGGTTACCTTTCCTGCTCTAAGATTGCCTAATGTCAGATTTCTCCAATGTTTTGTTATGTAGCAATCAGTTTGTTTCAGTGGGAGGATATCATAACAAAATTTGTGCCATGGGCTATTATAAGTACTTGTTTGCCTTGTCTTAGTTGAGGGTAAGCCTTCACTATTCACCAGCTATTATGGCAATCCCGGTTACAGTATTGGTGGTTGAAAACGGTGTCTAAACAATGATGAGAAATTTCACCTAAGAAGAAGTAAGCGTGACTGAAATTTTGCACGCGATGTTATGGTAGGTTGGATCATGCGGATTATTTCATTGTTCTTATTGTGATTGCACAAAGACGAGCAAAAAGGTATTAGCAAAATTGTGCATCCTTGTTCCTGAGACATCCTAACTGTACAAAAACAGAATAGCTGAGGACAGCTGTGGAAGATAGGTTGTGCAGTATGTCTTACTTCTGCTCCATTTTTGAACTGCTTAACGAATACTTTGGTATGGGAACACTTCAGTTAAAGCCTTAATTAGTCCTCAGAACTGGTATACAATGTATGGGCTGTGATTTCTCAGTGGACATACACAACAGCTCCCCTATTATAAAAGATTCCTTAGCTGCTTAAAGATGAAGGTGAAGGTTGGCTGATTATCTCTCTGTCCTTCTGAACCGTCACATGAA